ACCCTTGAATCCCATCCCTTACCTTCACCATCCTCGCTCCAAGGCTGTGGCCAGTGACATCAACTGCACCACACACTTGGTGGGCTGGGGAGCTGCTCTGGGCTGGCTTCAGAACCCGCCCAGTGCTCCCAGTTCCACCCCCTGCAGCCCCCCAGGCTGTGGCAGGCACAGGCAGCCTCAGCTCAGAGCTGGGATTAGAGCAGGGAATCAGCTCCTCATCTGTCACAGGTATGCAGGGGGAAGGAGGAGTCACACCTGGCTCCAGGGAACCTCCCCCTCCCAAAATCCTCCAGCAGCATCCCCGAGGTAGTGGGTGTGAGGCCAAGGCAGGCTTACACCGCAGGGAGTGCAGTTTGAGAGGAGGGATGCAGGGATTCACCTGCCCCTGAAGGGGATCCAGGGTGCTCCCCATGCTCTGGCCCTTCCTGAAGCTCTGGAAACCCATCCTACAGCTGGATGCTCAGCTCCTGCTGCCCTTCTCCCAGGCTTTGCTCCAGGCTTATCCCACATCCCATAAGAGGGATAACAGCCTCTCTTTATCCCCCCCAGCAAATCTCCACGTCTGAAAGGAGTGATCAAACATCTCCGCTTAGGAGTGGGGAAACCGAGGCACAAACCAGCTGTGGAGAATCCCAACAACCCCACCCCTTTCCCCACCACCTCCACTGCGAGAGCACCCCCAGGGCAGCCTGGCTCCGGGGGAAAGCCTCTCTCAGCTCAGGTTTTCCCTGGCTGCATGCAGCTCCTTCCCCAGCCACATCCAGGCTGTTCCCTCCCAGCAGGTACTTTCCTAGATTAAAAACCCTGCTCTCATCCCTTGGCGTGGTGCCCCAGAGCCTCACACTTGTTTTTACTGACAGCCCCATCTTTTGTTGATTAAAATTCCTTTAAGTGCACCTGCTGGTTAATCCCATGCCCGAGCCAGGGATGCTGTCACTGTCCCCTCCATGGGGCCTTTCTGCCCTGCTCCCTCTCAGCCCTGTGTCCCCAGGTGCTCCATGTGTCTCCTTGGCTTCAAAAATAAAGCAAAGGAAATAAAAATGCTCCGGGATGATGGAGGAAATGGTGATTTTTATTTGGAAGAGAAAGGGACTGGTGTCAGGGTGTGCCAGGCTCTGTCCTCATCCCTTGTCTCCCTTCTCCCACTTGGCTGGATTTACACCAGGAGGGATGGAGAGCCAAGGAACCCAGGCCAGCAGCAGAGTCATGCCAGAAGCGCTGCAATCCAAGTCTTGCAGCTCCAAACAAGCAGTGGCACTGACAAAATCCCTGCCAGCCCCGGGCTGGGCATGCCTGGCACTGCCCACCGGTGAGGATCATCTGCTCCGTGGGGATGTGGGAGTGCCAGGAGCACTGCCCAGTGAGGGGGAGGATGCCTGGGTCCAGAAGAGGTTTGGACTCCTCTGATAAATCGACCTTTCTGCTCCCCTTTGGCATTTCTGCTTCCTCCAGGAACTGTTGCTCCTGTCCCAGATTGCAAGGCAAAATGTGTTCTATTTGCCATCTGTATGGCAGCTGTCTCCTGCTCAGTGGGCAGTTTTCCTTATCTCTTCCACACCCACTCCTCCCTTGGGGGACATCTGCTGATAACAGGCTATGGAATGTCCCTGCATGGCTGATAAGAACTACAGCATCCATGGGAGATGTGAGCCCAGGGGAGGAGCCAAGCATGGGTACCTGGTTAGAATGTGACATTCTGGAACACCAGCACGGCTTCTCCACTGGATTTCCCAGAGGAACAGCAGCTGCCTCTTCCACTGGATCTTCAGAGGAAAACTCCCCCCTTCTACAGGATCCCTGCTCCAGCAGAACCCCCCCTGGCACTGCAGGAGGGCTGCAGCCACAATTCCAATGGGACTGCTGCCAGCACCCTGACCCACAGGGTGTCAGGTGTGTTCTGACTCTGGCAGTGTTGTTTTGGTTTACTGCATTGTTTATTTTATCTTTTTATTTTCTTCCCTAGTAAAGAACTGTTATTCCTGCTCCCATATTTTTTACCTGAGAGCCCCGAATCTAAAATTTATAACAATTCAGAGGGAGGAGGTTTACATTTTCCATTTCAGGGGAGGCTCCTGCCTTCCTTAGTACACACCTGGCTTTCCAAACCAAGACACTCTTCCACACCTGATCCTGGTGCTCCCCCAAGAGAGTTTTGGCCCACCTGAGGTTCGGCCTCCCCCAGCTCCATTCTCCACCTGCCACAACATTCCTGTGATTCTGTGTTCTGCTGGGAAGTTGGATTGCCCACGGCCTTGCCCAGCAGCCCCAGCCCAGCCCGTGGAGCCCAGCAAGCCCTGCACTGGTTGGAGTTTGGGATGGGCTTCATCCCCTCCTGCATTCCCACACCCCCACGGAGTCCTGGGCTGAAGGACCTTCCCTGGCTCATGGATCACATCACTTTGTGTAGCTTCAGAGAGGTTTGGCCATTCACCATCCCCTGCCCCCAGATTTAGGCTGGGGCCACATTTCCCAGCCTGCAGCTCCAGGGTCAGGCGTGGAGGGGTTTTGTTCTCTCTGAAAGCAGGAGGAAGGAGAGGGGCCTGTGGGGATCTGTGCTCACACATTCCTGCCCAGAGTCACCCATCTGCTCCTCCTCCCTAATTTTTTGCCCAGGGATCAGAGAGGAACAGGTTGCAGTTGGAATGGTGATGGGAAGAGGCTTTGTCCAGGCTGGGGCAGGGACCTCTCACTGCTGCTGGGGAATCATCTCCAGCCACTTCTGTCCCAACCACCCACAGCACCACTGCCCTGTCCCCACAACCCTCCCAAAGGACTGGGCTGCTCCTGTCCCCTCGAGGTCACCTGGGGGTACCCTGGGCAGGTGCTGAGCTCTGCTGAGATGTTCCAAGAACTCCCTGTCCCTGACAGGACCTGGGACATGCAGGGCTCAGCACACCCTGACCACATCCTTGACAGGACCTGGGGCATGCAGGGCTCTGCACACCCTGACCAACACCCCTGACAGGACCCCAGGGATGCAGGGCTCAGCACACCCTGACCAACACCCCTGTCAGCCAACCCTGGCACCCAGCATCGATCCTGTGATCCATCCATGCCCACAGAGCAGGGCCTGGCACAGCTGGCAGCACCATGGGGCTCTCCCGAGGACTCTGCAGCCGCAGCAGGAAGCGAAGGCTCCCGGAGAAAGGCTCTCCTCTCTCCTCTCTCCTCTCTCTTCTCTCTGTAATTGCTCTTTGGCACCCTGCCACCGATCGCTCACATTTGGGAATGTTTTCTTTCCAGTCTCAGGGCTGCTTTTCAGTTCCCTCGCTGGTTTTACCCATCCCAGCCTCTTCCCACAGCACCACTCCCAAATAAAGGACCTCCTGTTGGTGTCAAAGGTGGAGCCCCAAGCTCCCCAGAGGTGTCAGCTGCAGCCCCCTCAGCCCGTGGTGATTCGAGCAGCCAGGGTTGTGCCAGGTCCCTGCAGTTCTCCAAGGGCTCTGGGAGGGTACAGCCCCAAAAGGGTGTGAAAGGTGAACCCTGGAGTCAGGAATGGGGTCAGGGTGGCCCCACAGCTCAGCAGGACCGGCCCGTTCACCCCGTCCTGGTGTCCCCTCTGAGAGCCAGGGGTGCCCCGCAGGGCTGGTGTGTCCTCCCTGCTGGCTGGGGGCAGAGCTGGGGGCAGCTCTGCAGGGACTTCCCCGGCCAGGGAGGTCACGGGGAGGTCATGGGAAGGTCATGGGAAGGTCACAGGGAGGTCACAAGGATGTCACGGGGAGGTCACAGGGAGGTCACAGGGAAGATTCTGCCCTGGGCTTTCCAGCGTGGGCTCCGCTCCAAGCCATGACAAGGAGCTCAGCCACAACATGGAGTCCCAGAATCCCAGACTAGTTTGAGTGGAAAGGGACCTCAGAGCTCATCCAGTCCCATCCTCCCCATGGGCAGGGACACCTTCCACTATTCCAGCTTGCCCCAAGCCCCATCCAGCCTGGCCTTGGACACTCCTAGGGATCCAGGGGCAGCCACAGCTGCTCTGGGCACCCTGTGCCAGGGCCTGCCCACCCTCACAGGGAACAATTCCTTCCCAAAATCAAACTTAAATTTCCCATTTTTTGTTTTAAGTCATTCCTCCTTGTTCTGTCACTCCAGTTCCTGATGAACAGTCATCCTCTATCTTCCCTTAGACCCTTCAGGTCCTGGAAGCTGCTCTGAGGTCTCCACACAACCTTCTCCTCTCCAGGCTGAACAGCCCCAACAATCCCATCCTGTCTCCAGAGGGGAGGTGCTCCAGTTCCTTTATCAAGTTCATGGGCTCTCCTGGACCCACTCCAACAGTCCCACATCCTTTTAGTGATGGGGGCACCAGAGCTGGATGCAGCATTCCAGATGGGATCTCATGAGAACAGAGTAGAGAGGAAGAATCACCTCTCTCAAGGTGATCCATGCAACATCCAGGCAGTGCCGTGGCCAAAATCCCCATTCCAGGGGACACCCGGGGCTGGAACAGGACTCCAGGGAAACAGGGGCCATGGAATTTTGCTTTAAACCTCACCCCCAGCTCCTGCTCACGAGTTTGACCCAGCTGCCTCCCCTGCAGACCCAACACAGCTCCAGAAACTCCTCTTTTCCCACAAAACAAGGTCTCGTTCTCCATGGAGAGCCAGAGGCAAGGAGGCAGGAGGGGTAGGGGAGCTGACTCAGCTCATGGATGACTTTATTGGAACTCTACACGTTGGACAGGCATGCGAACAGGACAGACGGAGACAGGAGTAGTATTGCCTTGGTCACAGAGATATGGAACAGCGTTGGAAGGACCCTGACCCCTCCAGGCCAGCCGGGATCCCCACACCTCGGTCTCCTATTGCTTCCCATCCCCATCCCTGCCCCAACCCCCCTGCTGGGCCCTGGGCCCCTGGGCTCAGCACCTGTGGGAGGGGGCGATGGTGGCACCCAGACTGGAGCCTTTGGTACTCTGGAGTGGCACCAGAGAGGAGCCTTTGGCACCTGGAGTGGCACCCAGAGTGGCGCTTTTGGCACCCTGGAGTGGCACCCAGAGTGGAGCCTTTGGCAGCCTCCAGGGCCTGGAGGAGGTTCCCAGTGGCCGTGTGACGATGGAGGGGTCAGGGCACGGGCGCAGCCACGGGCAGAGATGTCCTGGTGAGCAGCTGGATCTCCAGAGGTGGAGGGTGAGGTGCAGCCAGAAGCGTGGGCAAGGGGAGGGGGCAGCCCAGGGGGTGCAGGGGCAGCGTGGCCGTGGCAGGGCTGGCACCAGGAAGGGGAATGGGGCTGTCCCCAACCTCCCTCCCTGCCCTGCTGCTCTGTGACACCACTCGGGGGGACCCAGCTGCCAACCCCCCGGGGATGGAGCTGGAGCTCTGGGGAGAGAAAGCTCCTTGGGAAGAGCAGCCCTGGAGGAATGCATGTCCCAGCCTTGGGGACAGCATCCCTGGGCTTTGGGGAGGACATCCCTCAGCCTTGGGGAGAGCATCTCCCTTGGGAAGAGCATCCCTTGGCCCTGGGGAGAGCATCCCTGGAGGAATGCATGTCCCAGCCTGAGGGAAAGCATCCCTGGGCTTTGGGGAGAGCAGCCCTGGGGGAATGCATCCTTTAGCCTTAGGAAGAGCATCCCTTGGCCCCAGGAAGAGCCTCCTTCACCTTGGGGAAGGCATCCCCTGGGGAGGGCATCCCCTGGGGAAGGCATCCCTCGCCAGGGCAGTGCCTGCGTCCAGCTGGGGCTCAGGAGAAGGTGACCACCTCACCCTGGGGGTAGCTGGAAGCGAGGGTGTCCTGGCAGGAATCTGCAATTAAAGACATAAACATTAAACACAGCATTAGAGATTTGCTCCCATGGCTATGTAGGGGGAGAAATAGGAGAGGGAGAGGGACACTGAGCTTCCAGGGGACGCCGACTTAGTAGGATGCAGAAAACAGAGTAACAAAACAATGTAAAGTGGCCTTTTTCAGAGGGATAAAATGCTGCTGTTGCATCTGTAAGTCAGGGAAAAATGGTTTAAAACAGCCTCAGGATGGTGGCAGAGATGAAGACTCGGGAAATGATTCTCCATGAGAAACCATGCATGGAATCAGGGTGATTTTGAGGGTATAAATAAAAAGCAGGGGGAAAAACATCACCCTCACCACATCCCTCTCAACCCTCTCCTCCCAGAAAATTGCTCTTGCCCAAAACTTCCCAAGCCAACCCCAAACCAGGTGTCCCAAAGCCAAGCCTGGTGCATTAATCTCTCCGTGTTTTTTCTTCTCCCTCTCTCCCTCTCATTTGTTATCATTGAATTAATTATCATTGATTGGAGCTCTGAGTCACCCCACCGCCTCTCCCCATGTGCCAGGGCCCAGTTTCCAGGCAAGGGGCTGTCAGGCAGGGAGACAGCGCCTGATCCACCTGATAAGCCATGGAATTCTGCTTCAAACCTCATCCCCAGCTCCTGCTCATGAGTTTGACCCAGCTGCCTCCCCTGCAGACCCAACACAGCTCCAAAAACACCTCCTTTCCCACAAAAGAAAGGTCTTGTCTCCACTGAGCATCACTGCACAGGCTGGGTGAGCAATGCCCAGGCACGGAGGCTTTTCAAACCTCACATCCCATAAAACCCCCAGGGATTACAGGAGTTCTCCTCCCTGAGCTGGCAGGAGAGCTCCCCACCTCCAAAGACAAAAGGGTTTGGGGACCCAACAATCCCCCTGCAGCAATTTGGGGACCAGCAGTGCCCACACATGCAGCAGCTGCTGAAAAACACCCCAGGTCTTGGTTCAGTCACTCCTGCAAGCAGCTAAAAGCTCTTGGCAGGGTTTGTGTCCTGCTAGAAACATTCCCCATCAGGTCGATTGATTTACCAGGGGCACGACTTGGCTTTTAACTCCCATCTCCTCCTCCCTGTTCAAAGCCATTTTGTGTGTGAGCTCGAGACCTGCTGCCCACAGCCTCCAGGGACCTGCCTTGGAAAGCAGCTTCCCAGCCTAGGAAAAAAATTAGCACGACTAAAAATAAATAACATCAGCCCAGATTTTTATTTTTTTGTCCCCCAGACAAAGGCACCATGAGAAAACATCAAAACATCCCTCCTGTCTTGGCTTACAGGTACCAGCTCTGTTCTGCTTTCGCCCTCACGGCCCCTCAGTGATGTGCTATCCTTTCCTCAAGCCTATTTTTGGGTGCAGATCTGCCACCAGCCTCCACAGAGTGCTGCCCTGAGCAAGGCAGGAGGCTTGGCACAGCCTGGCACAACTCAGCTCCAAACACCCCAAGGTTTGCTGTGCTGCTCCCAGAGCCATCACCCCCAAATTTCTCCTCATGGGGGTTCACCCAGTCCTGCCCTCTCACTGTGAGCATCTCCTCAAGCAGCCTGAAGTGCTGCTGTGGGGGCTGCCAGCTGTGCCAGCTGTGCCAGCTGTGCCAGCACAATGTTTGGGTAGGTCCCACGCTGACTCTGCTCTGCTCTGCCAGCAGCCCTGAGGGGGAGGATGTGGGGGTGTTGGGGGATGAGCAGCTCAACTTTCCCCAGGCATGTTTCTGACCCCCCAGAACCCCCCAGGTGATCCCCCAGCCTGGGCAGCAGGGCAGAGGAGGATTTCTGCCCTGCTCAGGTGAGACCCCACCTGCAGAGCTGCCCCAGCCCTGGGCTCCTTCAGGAGGAGCTCCTCTGCTCTGGAGCCAGGCTGAGAGAGATGGGGGTGTTCATCTGGAGAGGAAAAAGCTCTGGGGAGATCTTAAAGCCTCTTCCAGTGCCTAAAGGAGCTCCAGGAGAGCTGGAGAGGGACTTTGGAGAAGGGGGAATGGCTTTCCACTGCCACAGCTCACCTGTATAGGAGAAGGTTCTGGGGAGATCTTAGAGCCTCTTCCAGTGCCTAAAGGGGCTCCAGGAGAGCTGGAGAGGGACTTTGGAGAAGGGGGAATGGCTTTCCACTGCCACAGGGCAGGGTTAGATGGGATATTGGGAAGGAATTCTTCCCTGAGAGGGTGACAAGCCCCTGGCACTGCCCAGAGCAGCTGTGGCTGCCCCTGGATCCCTGGAAGTGACCAAGGCCAGGTTGGACAGGGCTTGGAACAGCCTGGGATGGTGGAAGGTGTCGCTGGCCACGGCAGGAGCTGGAATGGAATGGAATTTAAGGTTCCTTCCTACTCAAACCATTCCCTGACTCAGTGATTATTTTTTCACAGCCACCAGGACACAAACCCTGCCCCTGCCTGTCCCACACAGGAGGAAGTGTGACCCTCTTGCCAGGAGTTCACAGATCCTTTCTGAGCCTCCATTTACCTTTCCCGTGGGTAAAACGCTCGGCTCGGTTGCCCGGGCGGAGGTAAGGAAGTAACAGACTGGGAGCTGGGAGGCTCCTATTTATAAGCTCCCCTGCATCCTATTTTGCATCTGCCTCTGCTCTCCCTGTTCCTCGTCAGCACGGGCAAGCCATGGGGTTGCTATTTATTTTCTGTTTTTCTTTATTGTCATCAAATAAGCAGCGAGGATTTTTCCTGGCAGAGCCGGGGAAGCCAGGAACAGGCTCCTTCTGGGTAGAGCAATTACTCTCTTGACATCTTCACCTCCTGCCCGGCTGCCTGACAGGCCTTTCTATTTCCTCAGCTCTCTCAGGCATCTCCCAAGAAACAGAGCAGTTGTTGCAACAATAAAAATTAATACTGTGCAAGCAGCCCGGGATCACGGTGCAGCCTCCATGCAGTGCTGGACCGCGAGTCTTCCAGCAGGAAAAGAGAAGGAAGGAGCTGAGGCTGGAGCAGGAAACTGCTCCCAAATCCCCTGAGCCAAGGCTGCTCTGGTTTGGCTCCTTGCAGAGGGGTGGGTGGTCACAGGGGTTGGTGACAGATCCATGTCCCACAGTGCTGATCCATGTCCCAGGTGGGCAGAGGGATGCGAGGACCCCACAGGACAGCCCGGTGTCACCCAGCACCTCTGGAGTGTTCCAGGCCAGGCTGGGCAGAGCTCGGAGCAGCCTGGTTTAGAGGAAGCTGTCCCTGCCCACGGCCCTTCCAACCCAACCATTCCATGGCTCCATCATCTCTGGTCCCATTCCCACTGCTGAGCATCACACGTGTCCCCATGGTGGGGAGAGGGACACGGGGCACTGGAGCTCTGGGGCATCTCACCCTGCCGAGCACCCATTGTCCCTGGGAGGGTGGGCAGGCCCTGGCACGGGTGCCCAGAGCAGCTGGGGCTGCCCCTGGACCCCTGGCAGTGCCCAAGGCCAGGCTGGACAGGGCTTGGAACAACCTGGGATGGTGGAAGTTGTCCCTGGCCATGGCAGGAGCTGGAATGGGATGGAATTTAAGGTCTGTTCCTACCCAAACAATTCCCTGACTCTGTGATTATTTTTTCACAGCCACCAGGACAAATCCCCTGCTCCACAGGTGAGGGACACATTCCTATAACACACCCAGTGCTCACCCCTGGATTCCTGCTCAATCCCATCACCCTGCCAGGAAGGAGACCCAGCACACCCATCCCATCCCATCCCATCCCATCCCATCCCATCCCATCCCATCCCATCCCATCCCATCCCCAGGTCTCCTTTCCATGCTGCCGTGCCCCCACGACCACTGCACACCCCTTGATGTTTTGGGCTTTTTTAAATGCCATTTTAGGGGCTGGGCAGGGGCAGTTGGACTCCTGTGGATTTATGCAGTTTCTTGGGAATAAATCCAACAACTTGGCTTTGTCTCGGTTCCTTTGGCCTGGGCTGGAACGTGAGCTCCTACAGATCCCTAAACACAGATAAGTCCTGCGAGGATATTCAGGGGAAGGATCGTATATTCCTGCTCTATTCTTATCCTCTTCTCCAGGCTGCCAATTTTGGCCACTGGTTGAGATAAAAACCTGGGCTCCAGAGATATTTAGAGGTCTGCTCTGATCCACTACAGCTCCTCTTCTAATCTTACCCAGGGATTAACCCGTGCTAGCTCGCCCCCAAAACCAACCCAGACCCCACCTAAAAATAACAACAAGCTGTTTTCTCCCTCCTGCATCCCCCAAGTCCTGTTCAGAAGGAGGCGGGGAGGAAGAGGGAGAAGATGCGATGGGTTTTGCAGCAGTTTGGTGCCTCCCACTGAAATCCCTCCATCTCCCTTTCGGGGCTGGGCTGTTTTAGAGGAGCTTTTTGCACATTAGTCATCCCTCCTCTGGGTTGCATAACGCCCCAGCTAAAAATTGCATCCTGCCGGCTCCGTGGCAGCTCCTGCCCAACCCTCCTTGCTCTGGTGGGGATGGGATTTTGGGGGGTCCACCAAAGGTTTTCCACCCCAAGCAGCCACTCTGGCATTGGGATGAGCTGCTCTGGGAGCTGAGGGGGCAAAGGCAAGGATGGGATCTGCTGGGATCTGTGGCTGCTCTGGGTTTAATCCTCTACCGCCAAGAGACTCAAACCCCAAAGTCTGGGGTCAAAATCAAAGGATTTTGATCTGATCCTTCTGCAAGAGAAAGGGTTTCATACCTGGCTCATCCCAAAGTCAGCTCACAACCTTGGATAAATCATTTATGATCCAAAGGACAATGAAGCCATGGAGTGTGGCCTTCCCTCTGGCAGGGGCTGGGGATATTCCAGCTCCTCCTGCTTCCAGAGGGAAGGATGAGCTAGAGAAGCACCTGCATGGTGCTGCTGCTCCCACCCCTTTGCCAGCTCATGGAATTTTGGGGGGTTCATGAACCTGCCCTGTTACCCCTCCATCTGTTGTAGGAATCCAAGGAATGCAGCTGCACCCAACACACAAACCCAGGTGCTGCTGGTGAGGGATGGATCAGCACCAGAGCCCAGCATGGCACACCTTGAGCAC